ATTTAGAGATCATATTTTACCTATTTAATTTTTTGAAGTAATATACAGATGCACAATTTAATTATTGACTGCAACATTTATTCATATTTAGTAAGTTATTAATATTTATAAATTAATAAAATTTTAAAAATATTTAACTTTTTTCTTGCCACTTTTAAATAAATTTTATATTTATCATATTAATTAAAATTTTCAAGTCCAATGTAAATTACATAAATGTCCTTGTTTTTTTTTTGCAGTGGTCATGGCAAACAATTTTGCTAGGATTTAGTTTCCTAGCCTTTTTGCTAACAACAAGACACATTGTAAGATTTTTATTTCAAATTTCAAACACAAATATATGGTTTTTATTTAAATTTCATTTGTTTTTTAAGAATATAAAAATCCTTATATATGTTTTTATATTGTGACAGAGCATGAAGAAGCCAAAATTATTCTGGATTTCAGCAGCTGCTCCATTGACTTCAGTTATTCTTTCAACAATTTTAGTCTTTTCAATGAGACACAAGATCCATAAAATAGCAATTGTAAGAGAAAAAAAAAACCAACTTTAATTGTTTTCAAATGAATTTTTAAAATATATGATTCTGACAAACTCAGAGATGGCGAATCGGATTTGGTCAGACATATATATTTAAGGTTTAGGATTTAGGGTTTAGTCTGGTTTTGATAAGTCTGTTTTTTGTTGTGTTTTGTTTGGAAGATTGGTGAATTGCCGAAGGGAATTAATCCACCTTCATCAAACATGTTATTCTTCAATGGTCCATATTTGGCTCTTGCTATCAAAACAGGACTTGTCAGTGGAATCTTGTCTCTCACTGTAAGCTTTCTCAAACTTAGTAGAATCACTTATCATATTAAGTGCTTATTTATAAAGCCATTTCACAAAAACAACTCAACTTATTTTTCAGGAAGGAATTGCAGTTGGAAGAACATTTGCTTCACTTAGAAACTACCAAGTGGATGGAAACAAAGAAATGATGGCTATTGGTCTCATGAACATAGCTGGTCCTTGTTGTTCATGTTATGTCACAACAGGTAATGATCCATTCATCACAAGTAGTTGATAAAGAAAACGAACTTTTTCAAGAAAATTTTGATTCTAAATATAAAACAAACCTGCAGGGTCGTTTTCTCGATCGGCCGTTAACTACAACGCTGGAGCGCAGACAGCCGTATCAAACATAATCATGGCATCAGCGGTTCTTGTGACTCTTCTGTTTCTCATGCCGCTGTTCTATTACACGCCAAATGTTATCTTGGCAGCCATTATCATCACCGCTGTTATCGGTCTGATCGATTTTCGAGTAGCTTACAAATTATGGAAGGTTGACAAGCTTGATTTCTTGGCTTGTTTGTGTTCCTTTTTCGGTGTTCTCTTCATCTCAGTTCCAATAGGCCTTGGAATCGCAGTAAGCTTTAAAGTTCAACTGTCATATCAGTAAAAAAAATTTATCGGTTATGACTCGTCGACAGTGTATAACTTTCCGAACCTTTTTAGGTGGCGATATCGGTATTCAAAATCCTGCTTCATGTCTCTAGGCCAAACACATTGGTTTTAGGAAACATTCCGGGCACACCAATATTCCACAACCTAAATCAATATAAAGAAGCTTTAAGGATTCCTTCATTTATCATTTTGGCTGTTGAGTCTCCCATTTACTTTGCCAATGCAACTTACCTGCAAGAAAGGTTCGATAATACTCCCTCTCGAGTCTTGAGTTTATGTATCTGGTCCAAATTTTTGGACCAGATACGCGTAGGATAACTATACTTTGAAGGTTCTAACTATTTTGAGTTCTTCTATTGTTTTAGAATTTTAAGATGGGTTCGAGAAGAGGAAGAATATGTAAAAGCAAACAATGGAAGTATATTGAAATGTGTAATTTTAGACATGACAGGTATGTATTTCGCTTGGCTTGCAAAGTATGTTATCGAAGATTTGGGATCGTTTTGGATAAAATGTTGTGTTTTTTCGTTTTGTTTTCAGCCGTGACAGGCATAGACACAAATGGAATCGACACGTTATGTGAACTTAGAAGGAGACTGGAGCAAAAGTCACTTCAGGTATGTATCTATAAATCTCGTGCACAACTTAGCTCGTGCGCGACACAATTGAATGTTTCACTTAGTTTTCGTTCTAATCTGTATTTATGATTGATTGTGCAGCTTGTGTTAGCAAATCCTGTTGGAAGTGTGATGGAAAAACTGCACGAGTCGAATATTTTGGAATCGTTTGGAATGAAAGGATTGTATCTGTCAGTAGGAGAAGCCGTGGCTGACATTTCATCATCGTGGAAAGCTCAGCCTTGATGAAGCTCCTCCATAGATGAGGTTTAAGCCGTTAGACAGAAAAAGATTATGGCTTCTAACTTTCAGCAGTTAGACAAATACTAACTTTGAAAGTTTTTAGCCTAATGAGAAAATTCAAGTTTGTTTAAATTAAAAAGCCTTCAATACCAAGGCATTTGTTTTTGTTTAGTAGTGTTTTCTTATTGTAGGATGCTACTTTTATTTATGTACGTATTTTGTTACTCTTGTCCATTTTTGGCTTTAGTTGGAGAAGAAAGAGCAACCAAGAAAGAACTATTGTGATGATTTCATTATGTTGACATTCAGTGATAAATGTCAATATATGATTTAGATTTTAAAAATTGCTGACAATTTTAAATGTGACGGTATTTTCTTTAAAAAAAATTTATAGTCAATAGCAGTTAATGACTTATTTCGCTATGCCAGTGATTTCTAACCCAGAATAGTTTTTAACTCGCTATTCTTTCCGCTTCTACAACAACAACAATTAAGCTTTATTTTATTAAGTGGGGTTGGTTATATGAATAAACTTTCTATCATAATGTCTTATTAAGGGTTATGTTTCTATTCAAATCATTAATCTTGAAATTTTTCTTAATAGCTTATCATATAGTCTTTTTAGGTCTTCCTCTTTCTCTAATTGTTTGTCTTCTCTTTATTTGATATATCTTCCTTACTACAAAATCTACCGGTCTTATCTGCATGTTCAAGTCACCTAAATTTATTTTCCAACATCTTCCATATTATAGGCGCTACCCCACTCTCTCTAATATTTTCATTTTTAATTCTATCGTGTCGAGTCTTACCACACATTCATCGCAGCATCCTCATCTTTGTTACACTTACTTTATTCTAGTGTTGATTTTAAATCGTCCAACATTCTATTCCGTATAAAATTGCAGGTTTTCTCGTAATCCGATAAAACTTTCTCTTCAACTTGAGTGATACATTTGCATCATATAAAACATTGGATGCCCTTCTTTATTTCAACTACCCAGCTTGAATTCAATGGTTTACATCCTCTTCTATTTCTCCATCATTTTGTATTATGAACTCAAGATATTTAAACTGTGTTACTTAATGGATAATATGGTCTCCAACTTTCACTTCTAGGTTAGAACTTATATTTCATATACTCTCTCTCACTTCTACTTATGCGAATGTCATGGGTTTCTAAAGCTCATCTCCAAATTTCCAACCTCTCATTTATATCATTCGCAAAAAACATGCATCTCAGTGTTAGTTCTTGGATGTGTTCTGAGAATACATCCAAAATTAAGGTAAAATAATAAGAACTTAAGATTAATCCGCAAAAAACATACATCTCAGTGTTAGTTCTTGGATGTGTTTCGTGAATAAATCGAAAATTAAGGTAAAATAGTAAGGACTTAAGATTAATCCGCAAAAAACATACATCTCAGTGTTAGTTCTTGGATGTGTTCCGTGAATACATCCAAAATTAAGGTAAAATAACAAGGATTTAAGATTAAACCTTGATGCAAACCAATTGTATTAGAAAATTCGTCTGTCTCTTCACCATGTATCCGCACACTAGTTGATACTCCTTCATATATATTTTGAATAATTCGAATACATACATAACCGCTTTCTTTTCTAGAGTTTTCCACAAAAATTCTCTAAACACTCTATCATATGCGTTCTACAAATCAATAAAAATCAAGTGTAAATTTTGTTAATTCATCTGATATTGCTCCATCATATGCCGTAATAGATAAATCGTTTCTATGATCGATCTTCTAAACATAAGTCTCTTTTCTTAGAACAAACCAAACATAATTGAGATTTTCAATCAAATTTTTAAGTTGAGATTCAACCTTGACATTACAACTTAGTTGTTTGATTTTAAATCAAACATATGTTTATAGTTACTACATGTAATTTGTCTTAAAAAATGATCAAATGGTACGGTCGTCTATGTAATTTGTTCAAAAACAATCATCTATGTAATTCGTCCAAAAAAATATCAAATAAAACTGTCATCTGCCATATGCTATCCCACTTTTATGATCGGCCACTCTACGCCACTATCCAGAAATAACTACTCTGATTCAAACTCTATCTATATGCCATTTTGAGAAATAGACCTCACATTATGTATGAATAGCAAATAAACTATACTTAGAAAAAGATCAACCACAAAATTGTGGTACAGATTCATCAATCAAAAATGATTCATCGATAAAAAATTTAAAAAAAAGAAGTTTAAATGCAAATTTTATTGAGATTCATTCTCCAATCTAATACAACAACCTTTTTAACAGTAATAAATCAGGAATGGCACAAAACTAATATATATATATTTCAAAGAAATCAAATAGATCCAATAACTCACAAACAGGGTAAAAAGAATAGAAGCTCAATCAACTTTACCCGACATCGCTATAAGGAAGGGACAAAAACCAAAATAGAACAAGAATAACCTACATAACACTTTCAGAACTTCCTGGAAATTATGTACCTAATCTTTGTATGGTTATCTATGTTTAAACTCTATTGCAGCTAAAAAATAGTAAAAGTAAATGAAGCTCTTTCAATGGCATAATAGAACTATGCGCTACATGGGCTTTATCTTCGAGATCATCCGATATATAGAAGCAAAAGATGTTATCATCCTGCGGTACAACTCCTTTCTTAAATTCAAGACTCGAGTTACTTCTTTCTGTCAATCAAACATCTGAAAGGAATTTGAATGTATTAAATCACAGGCCAATATTTATCAGTTTATAAACAACACATCATTATGTCCACAAAATGAAAATTCTTTGTTACCAAATGGCACTTAAGCAGATCAACAGGATGTCACAAGTTTGCAATAAGATAAGTAAACTGTCAGTGTGATAATATAAAGAAAATACATAAAATTAATGTCTTAGCCCTCCGGCTCCAAATGTTAATCTCCTTAACATTAACCAGAGCATAAATATTACATGGGACTCTAACACAACACCCTCACACCCAAGACTATATCTGGAGCATGATCCTAGTAGCTCGATAACAGGTGGCTCAATGGGTTTGGATATACTCAAATATCATCTAGAATTTTAAGTGGGCCTAACTTAATACTAGAATCGGCTTGTAAGGTGAGGACAACCCAAGCTTTATAAGCATGAACAAGGGCGTGCCTCTATCTCTAGTCAACGTGAGCCTATAAAACGGCATTTTAGAATTTGAGTTGTGCCTAATTTAACCCTACAAGGCCGCTATTAATTTAACCTTGTTCTCAAGATTAAGGTTTGTAAAGAAGCCAGCAAGAGAGATAGCATCCCTAGACCCAATTGTTTGAAACAAAGAGCTCAACTTATATATAAGCTGTGAAAATGTTCATTTGGATCTCATTTCTGAAGATGGATCGGGGCACCAATCCTCAAATTTGAGGGAGAATACAATGCTTTCCCAACTCAAGCAATTCTCTTTTCTATTAAAATATTCTGTTGGGAAAAGAAGGGTGAGAAGGAAAAGAACAGCAAGCAAAACATATAGAATATTTATTTTTCATTATTCCTAATGTAAATTGAGTTGTAAATTCAAAAACGAGTAAATTATTTAGTCCAGCGTCCAAAAACGAGTAAATTCTTACTTGAACGATATCGTGGTATTTTTATCTCCTGGAGTTCACGTTTCATACACAAGTATTCACCTAGCAAAGCCATTACAGCAATTCCAGTACCATTCACAATCCACCATGTAATAGAAGAGGGCCAACCGCCATACACAATACATATGAAAAGATGGATGATATAGAGAGTGGCTGAAAAATCCAAGCACTTCTTTGATCGTTCAATCAAATAAAGCAAATACACAGCCCTGCAAAACAAAGTCAGTGGTGTTAGTAGTAGTACAATGTAGAGCCACGGCTTAATTTCACTTTACAAGCCATATATGCATAGCAGCTAAGAATGCCCCCATTGAATCATTTCACTACACAAGGTAACAAAACCCATATTTTACATAATTTATAAATCTAAACCAATAAAATTCAATGGATTTCAAAAATAAGTAATTTCCTTTTCTAACATACTAACCAAACACAAGAATTGACTTCCCAAAACCCTCTCAGAAAATTTAAACAAAAGAATTAATTTCCTTTTCATATATTCTATCAAACACTTACACATATGTAATGTCATAAGATAAGCTCAAATAAACTCTTCCAAAGACAACAAAAACAACTAAGCCTTATCCCACTAAGTGGGGTCGGCTACGTGGATCAACTTTCGCCATAATGTTCTATTAAGGACCATGCTTCTAAATCATTAATCTTGACATCTTTCTTAATAACTTCTCTGATAGTCTAGGCCTTTCAAAGACATCATCAGAAAATCACAACAAAAGACTATCATGATTTAATATAAGTGCATAACAATTAATATGATATCATCAAGAAAGCTACGAGTAAAACAAGGTGGAAGAGGATAATTACCCCGCAGCTGAGCTGAGCAGAAATGAAACAGCAACGCACCAACCAGTAACGGTAGAGGTAGAAACAGTAACATAGTCAAAGAAATACACAAGGCTCAATCGAGAAACACGAGTGCCAACAAAAACGGTTAACAGCAATCCAAGGGTGATATAATACATACATTGAAGACAAACAATTTGAGCAACAATAAGCCAAGGATCCCATACCACTGCACCATAGAACATGACTCCTACCCGAAACAAAAAACCCTCACAAACTAAACCTAATCTCTAAATTCCCAAATCAAAAATCAAAAAGCCAATTCTAAAAACTTAAACTTTATCCACTCACATCGACCCCGTTACATATATCTCAATAATCAAAGCCACAACACTCTTCATTACATAAAATTAATCAAAATTCAAAACCCCAATTGCCTTAAAACAGTTTTAAAAACCCAAATCAAGGTTGTTGCGTTTAACCCCAAACACGAAGAATGGTTGATGTACTTTCAGATCTGGATTCTGGAACCAACTGTAAAAAGAAACTCACAGTGATTTAAACGGTATTATAAATTTCATGATTGATGAATCTTGCGAGAAATTGAAGAAAATTAAAGCGTTCCTATTTTCCGGCAATAATATAACATAGATTGATAGAACTTACCGAAAACTGAGAAGGAATTGTTGGAAAGAAAATTGGGGTTTTTTCCTCAAGCGATGGCGATCGGCGAAAAAGGGGAAATTTGGGAGGAGAATTGCAGGGAATTGCACTATGCGTGAAGTTCAGACTCGAAGTGTCGTTTTGGCTATGTTGTTGCCGTTTTCCTTACCGGTACTTTCAAATAGATCTTAGCAAATTGTTTACAAATCTCTCGTCTCTAATGTAATCAATTCATTTTGAATTTTGTACACTATTAATAATATAATTTATTAGCTAATCATCCTAATCATTGTTATACGAAAATTGTCTCATAAAAGAGAGAATAATAAATGTTCAAAAGTAAATTAGAAAGAAATAGTATTAATAATTTATTGATATTATAAAACGATTTATAATACGATATAATTTTTTTCTAAAACGACTTATACTAAAAAAAAATGGAGGGAATAATTGTTGATATAAATTATATGGTTAATGTATTTTTAATCCTTTTAAATATAAGCCATTTTATTTTTAGCCTCTAAAAAAATCTTTAAAAAATTGTCCTCCTAATATTTATCGTCCACACTTTTGGTTCATGACGTTAAGTATGTCTAACGGAATGTGTCGTGGTAGTACATATGACCTACATTTGAAAGTTAACATTTAAAATACATGTCACTTATAATTTTACTAGTGTACTGCTTCATTACTACATTGTAAATGTTAAAATGATTTCTCATTTTGTCTCTAGAAACCCTAGTTTTTCCAAATCATGTTTGATGGTCGTGACAATTCTTGCTCCCCGTTGATGCAAGTTTGCACCTTTCATTGCCAACGCCATACGAAGTTAACTGTTTGGAGAGTAGTGTATTCTTTTTTCCATTGTAGTGGGTAGGTAATTGAAAGTCGCAGTTCTTTCATTATAGTAGAGTACAAAGATTTTTGGTGTGGTCCTTGAAGTGGGTAGCTCATTGAAAGTTGTGGTCCTTGAAGTTTCGTTAGGTATGTATAAGACAAGTTTGTCCCACATCTCTCTTTCTTTTTTGCTTTTTGTTGAAGGTTTGTTTTTTCTTTATCCTACAATTTCAGGGTTTCTTTATTAAAATGTTAAAACAATGGAATATAATAACATAACATTGACTGTAGTTTGCATTTGACCGAAAATGCGGTATGCTAGTTACACGTTGATGTTATATTGACTGAATATTTAATGCTCAGTTGATATTTTCTTGACTGAATTATTTTAGTTATGTGAAATTATTACCAAACTTACCCCTTACCATATGTGAAATGTATCAGAGATGGGTTTATTTAAGGTGGTTTTTTGCTCTAAGGGTTGTTATGTAAAAGACTTCAAGTTAAAATATGAAGGTGAGGATATTTATGCATACAATGGATCGTAAGTAGTATTTTCCTCCGAGCGTTTTAACATGTTAACTAAAGAATTTCTGGGAAAAACAGATTGTGATCATGAATTTAACCATCTTGGTTGATGTCTTGCAAACCTTCAATGGTAATAATCTCACAAATTTCTGTCTTCCAATCTTATTCAGGTTGCCTTGAGGTTCTGGTATACATTAATTCGCCCAGAACACGGTATTTGGTTTAGTATTTTTCATCGTTTCATCATTGGCTTTGTTTGAAGTGGTTTTCGTCTTGATATTTGAAGTTCGCAAATCTCGTTCTGAAATGTTTGAGGGAGAACACGCTGAATGCGTTGTTTGTACAGGTGCGCTTGGAAGTTGCTGTCATGGCTAAACTTGATAGCGTTAATGTTTGTCACAGGGTCTGTTTCGTAGCTCGTGTCTGACTCTGTTTTGCTTTTGCAGATAGACTCTGCTTCCCTTTGTGCATTATGCAGGTTTAAGGGTAGAGGCTGCTAGAGGTATATCATGCCACAAGAGTTGTCATTTTGTCCTCCTGCATTTGTATGCAATGACTGCCGTATTTAGTTTGATTGAATTTCCTGAACATCTCCTCTGAAGGTCATGAGGTAAAGAACTTCTTTGAATTTTGACAACGTATTCTAAATCCAAAGTGAGACTGTTGCTAACATTTTATGACACAGATGCATTGGAGCTCGGATTTGGCAAACGGTGAACAGTCTTGGTGCTTGAAGAGATTAGAATGAAGTTATGGAAACTCTGAAGTATGATTGTGGAGATCAAGTTCAAATTTTGATTTAGAACAACAACTTCTAATTTCTTCCATGTGTATGCAACAAGGCGAACATTGGGTTTGCACTTCCAGGCTTGGCATCACTCTCCTTTGAAAAAGCAGGAAAAAATACGGTACAACCTCTTTCTTCTCCTCTAAATCTCAGTGTGCTTTTCCTGTCTGCTCAAATTATTTCAATAATATCAATTGGTTTCTTCTTCTTAGACTCGTTTCACAGCGTCAATTCTGTTTACAATGCAGGTAGGCTGCCAGTTCTTTGACCGATGTTTATGGCGGCGGAGCCAAAGATTTGCGGTGAAAACAGCTTGTTTGATATGAGAATTTTTGATGAAAAATGGTTGTGAAATATTGCAGGTTATTTCTAGTAATTGTTCTGATAATTTTGTGGTGAGTTTGGATGAGTTACAACAAGGTGGTTGTTATGAACTTTGTAGTGACAGTATGAACAACTTATGTGAGTTTGTGGTTTGTATTGGATTTTACTGTCATGCCTTTTTGACAGAAGGAGTATGGTTTATGTGTAGCATGAACATGGTATGGGTTGGTGAAGGTTCCGTTCTCGTGTTAACTGATTGTACTGCTTCATATTTCAGGTAACATTGCCACACAAGTTAATCCCAATCAACGGCAATGCCCCGCGTTAGCTCGTGTTTCCAGCTTTCAGAATCTTCACCGTAAGTGGTCTTAACTGCGTGTTTCCATTAATTGTTTAGCGGGACGAGAAGCTTTGGTGAGTAAACTCGTTTATCATGTCTTTCAATGTAGGTTTGACGAGCTATTGCTTGAAGACTGAAGAAGTTGAGCTGGTATTTCAAATTCTTAATTGTCCTGGTGTTTGCTGATTGATGGAAAGTTGCGGACTTGGAAGGGTGGTTGCAGCCAGCTCTTTGATGCGTAACGGTGATGGGGTCATTGCATTTATCAGTGGTAATTAGACCACCCCAGCCTTTAAAATTCTCGCCAAACCGTTTCAAATATGTTTGATTTCACGCTGTAGCTTATTCGGTTGTACCGAGAAGATGTTGTAACTGATCTACTTGGCATTTCTTGAACTCTAAATTCTCGAATCCAAGCCGAGATTATTAGTACACCACGAATTTAACATGTAAATCAAACTGGACCATCTTAAGTCTTGCCTATGTGTGTCTTGACTGTTGCTTTTGGTATTCCTTTGCAGGTATGACTTGGAGATATAATGGTGCAGTCAAGCTTGAACGTAATCTGGAGTAATCCATACGGGGTCCGAATGTTATCACAGTGGGGGTCACCTATTAAATACTTATCTTTCCATGCTTTGTATATAGATTTGACTGAACAAACCGCAGTTGGTCACTTAGGATTAGTACCTGTAATCATGATTTGGAAAAGAGCAATGATCTTTTAATTTGATCCTTGTGAAGACCATGACTCTTGTAATTAGTTACCCAAATTTGAATATTTGAATGGAAGTTATAACAAAAGAGCTTTAAAGTTTTGCAGCGTAAAACAAGAACATATTCTTTGCAAACAAAACTTCACTGAACTGCTGTCGATAGGATCCCAAAAATTTGATTCAACAAGATATTGAGATAATTCCTTAAAGGGTCCGATACCCATTTTTCTCCTTTCAAGCTCTCCTTGTAAATGATAATAAAGGTCATTAAGAATCAACTTATTTAGTTCCTTCCCCTCACTGTAACCACGGTGTGAATACTGAGATAACATTTTAGAGAAGGCGGGATGAATTGTCAACTTCGTAACAATTCCATGAATCTTCTGAAGCAAGGGCACAAATAAACTTCCAGAGTTGTTAACTGCTAATTTTAACATCATATGAACCATTTTGCTCCTACAACACCAATTGATTAAATTGTAAATGTCGCGTTTAAAATCCAAACGAATAATCCTTGAATCTTGAATTCAAATTATCCTGCAGTGCAAATGCCTCAATCTATGAGCCCCTGATTTCAATTTTTGTACGAATTCTGTCTTGACAAATTCTTCACTAAGGATAAAACTTGAAAGGGACCAAGATCTCGATTTAAGGGGATCTCATCATGAAAATATGCTAGATTAAGGACTTAATCTAAACTAATTCTAATCTAAACTAATTCTAATCAATAATTTTATTTTATTTTTAATTAAAGACTTAATCTAATTAAATAAAGAAACTTAAATCTATTCTAAATTAAAATTAATTTCTAAACTTAATTAAACAATATAAAAACTAATTTTAAAAATCTAATTAAATCTATTTTAAAAACCTAAAACTAATCTAAAACTAATTGAAATTGAATAATTCTAAAACTAAAATCTATCTAAATTATAATTTTATTTTTAAAAGCTATTTTCTAAATATAAAAAAAAACTAAATAAATTCTATTCTACTCTAATTTCTACAAATAAAATTAAAAAAATTAAATTTTAATCTATTTTCTAAAAG